TGCCACCCAATATCGATTTGTTCACAGTTGTTTGGCATGGTCCACGCTGTGCGTGAGGGGGCGTATTAGAATCCCACATTGTTTGGGAAAATATAAATGATCCACTTTATAAGATGAAGGCAATCCTACCCTAATAAGCCGGTTTTATTAGGTATAAAAAAGCTACAATTGTTTTGTTCAGTGAAATATGAATGACATCTATATATATAGTTGAGAATCAAGTTGGACTTTGAGAGAACGTCACAAATAGAGTATGGGGTTGTAGGGACATCACAAACCAGCAAGAAGTTGGGGATGGTGTCATTTTATTTTATGTTTTTCGTTTTCTATAGTTCTTTATTGAAATTAAGTGCTTATCCATTGTATAAGTTTAAAAAGAAAAAAGGGAAAAAGGAAAAAACAATATTAAGGATCGACTGGCAACAAAAAGCCATAGTTGGGAGACTAATGTATATTGCCATAACAATTGAATCTTCACTTGTATTTTATACAAAAACAATATTGCCATAACAATTAGGTGATGACCTGTACATTTTTAAAATATTATGGATCGACTTGCGACAAAAAGGCATAGTTGGGAGACTAATTATAGCAGAATTTTGGCTTTGTAAAATGATATAGAGCATGTTTGAGTCTCATACTTTTGTTCAAAATGCATTTTGGAATAGTATTTTAATGGAGAATGTACGGTTAAAAAATAAGAATCTTTTTTGAATTTACGTGTAAATTATTTTATTGAAAAATGTGATTGAAAATAAAAACAAAAAAAGATGGTATTCTAAAAATAATGGATTCCAAACAATAACATAGTTTGATTAAAAGAATATCAAATTACATTTTATGACTATCTAAAAACTTTACATTATTACTATTACTATTATTATTATTATTAGGTGATGACTTATAGTTTTTAAAAATAATTAAGGATCGACTAGCAACAGCTGCCATAGTTGGGAGACTAATATATAGCTTTGTGTCTATGAAAATTTACACTATTTGTCCTCAAACTATAGGGTTTGAATCTGAATATGTTATTTCGTCTTTTCCATCATCAGAATCCTACCCGAAACTGTCTCTCGCCCCTTCCGACTCGCTCACCGCCTGCAGTTCTCCGGTAAGTAT